AGGCCCCGGGGGATCATGATCTGCACTCAAGCACAGAACCTCACAGAGCACGGTCACAGCCGGGGCCTGTGCACTCAACTAATAAACTACAAACAAAACCCTCAATCAATATACCTTTCAAACGCATCTTGTCTCTTGTAGTCTCTCCAGATTGAAATGGACAAAAGAGGACCTTAAAAGACATTAGCAAAAAGTTACCCACTAAACTTTTGCGACATCCACCCAACCATATGTTTTCTCAGAAAGTTTCTCTTTTCAATTTCCGTCAATTTAGCGAATCATAGCTGCTACGTTATGCTCTGTTCTTTTCCCCCTGTTATTAGCTTTGAAGCAGCTCATTATGATTCCCACATAGACACAGTTCACCTTGCCATTATTGGTTTCACCACGTAATTAGAGCGACTTAATTAAGAGCTTGTCAGTATCGCCTCCACAAGAGCACAAACATGAGAGAGACATGTCGCTATGCTGCGGTCTCAAAGTCCAGCTTGGTTCTGGGAAAAATGCCCTTAGCCATCGTATAGCGCTTTGTGACCGATCCCTGGCTGTGAGACGGAGAGGTTCCACTGGTCTTTCCTTGAGCTGTCAGACTGTAGAATGAACAATGTTGTTTCGGCACAGAGTGATGTGTACTCTGTGGGAAACAAAGCTCTTAGTGGATATAGACAGACAGGATTATGATTCAGAGCATGAACTAAATAAGCTTCTATCCAATTACTTTATCTGAAAATCTGTTTGACTGACTGCGGTAATAATTCTAATCTCGTTTCAGAGTTGGCTAGGAACACTGAGATTAACTCTGTGATAACTGTACCTTAGATTAGCCTTTGAGTAAATCACTGAGACAAATCTACGGTTTTTCATTCTTTATTTATCGCTCATGACTATATTTATGTTATGGAGCACATGTTACAAAACAAAACAGCAAAGCAATACATCATTTTAAAGGAGCTATACCCGTTTCTGCAAAGTTTGAATGTTTAGCCCCGCCCCCAACTCGCTCATGCTCTTCTCCCCTCCCCTACGTTTTATTTGCGATCTATATGCAAACATTAGCAACTTCTTGTAAGCTGTACAACAATCACTGTTGAAATGGTACAAAAGCAACGCACTGCTAACAAAATATATAACCGAAAGATTACCGCTAGTTCCGCCTCCGAATGTGGTCCGAGCATAGATAGTCCGAGACAGTCCCGCAGGTTTCTCCCATAGACAAGTCTCTCCAGAGGATACGATGTAAGCTAGCTATGTTCACCCGGGCTTGGTTTCTTCTTTGATCATTTTTTGGCTTTAGTTCCCTCTTCTCTTCCTCACTGTTGCGTCGTTTGGGCTGTTTGCTGTGTCTGCAGTTACAGCCAGAGGAGTTATAGCCAATTCTGCTAACATGCTAATGTGTTTAGCAGCGCTGTAGAGGCTAGAGGACGCAGCCTCGTTCTGTGATTGGAGGAGAGCGGGCGTCACGCTAAGTCTCTACTCAGCACTTTTTACGGCCTGAATTCATACACAGCTGAATCAGTGAGCTCAAGTTTTCAATTAAATTACGGATTATAATACAACTCGTTTGTAGTAATAAGCTTTTTTATGAACTCATAAAAAAAAAAGAAATCGGGTATAGCATCTTTAACAAAGAAAGGACCTTTTTAAATATTTACCAAGTTAACAAATGATTCTGTGGCTACTAAATATAGGTTCTGTTGGAGACATTTCATAGCCTTTTATTATCATGAAGTCTATTAGTTCATTTTTTATAGTGAAGATCCCGCAAGTCTACAAGATAATTATATGTTTTTGCATCGGTTTTGCTGTTTGGCCGTCAATGACAAATGTCTGAACTGTTGCAACTTTCACCTGGATTTTTAACCTTAAACTGTGAATATTTTTAACAACAGCAAAAGGCCCTGTCGTAAAGAAGGGGATGATTTCTGTGGTATCAGCAACATATTTTGTCAAATTCAGCTCTCTTCCACACGGAGCCAGTGAATCTACATACTGTGAACAACACTTTCTGTAACTGCAGTTTGAAACGGCTGTGAATGCATCTCTGTGTTTACGTCCAATGCAGAACTTTTCTTCACAATGACATCACAGCTCTAGCTCTGCAGTCACTCTGTGTTCTCTGCTGACCTGAAATATGTTTATGTATAAAAATATCCACCACAAAGTTGTTAAATTATGTTTCTATTTTACTGAAAACCTATTGCAACTCAAGTTCTTTTTATATCTAATCAAACATGTGGTCAGAAGGTACTAAAGTGGCTCTGTAGCTGGTCCAAGGGTCTCTCTCCTGGGTTCAGATCCCAGCAACGTCTGTTTAGTTTAAAGGAACGAGAACATTGTCGAGACCCAGATTTATTCAAACTGTTGGGCTCTCTGCATGTGATTGTATTTATGCTTTTAAGGTACCGCATCGTGTTTTGTCAAAGCCTATTTCTTATGAATAGGAGATTGTGGGGCACGTCCCGTTGAGTGGGTGTGGCTTAGTTCGTCAAAGCTCCTGTCTCACAAACAGGAGATCCTGGGTTCAAATCTCAGCCGTGCCTGTCTACCTTATCATCGCAGATGTACAGATGCTAATGATACATAAAAGCGAAGCGATTTGGATCCGCAATATTCGAATCCCATTATCCATTAGGCCACATGGAACGAGAACACTGTCTAGACCAGAATTTATTCAAACCATTGAGATTTAAACAGCACATGGTGGGTGCACGTGCCGGCAGTGTCTGACATTTTATTGAAAACCTATTGCAACTCAAAAGCTGTCTATATGTAGTCAAAATTCGGCAAAATATATGTTCATTTTAGTACATTCTGACTGCCTTAAAACAAGATTTGCCAATGGGACAAGCAAACTGATCTTGTTTTTTTGATGATAGCGGTACAAGAAATGTCTCCCTTGGAATAAATCTTTTTTAAAGATAGAATGTACTCAAATTAAACTTGATTTAAGCAATTTAAGCAACCTCATATTTTAACACTTTTTGTTGTGTAAGAGACACTGTGGAACAAGGACATTGTACAGACCTGAATAGGTATTTCCATGCTTGATCAACTCAGCATGAAAGCTCTCTATATGTCATCAAACATGTGCTTAACAGAATATTTAGGGGGCGCTGTGGCTTAGTTTCTCAAAGCGTCTGCCTTTCAAATCCCAGCAGTGCCTTCAGATGTTCAGAACCAAATAATATATAAATAACCATAGAGGAATTGGAACCTTAAATCTTCTAATCCAAATATTTGGTTAAAATGGATCTTCTGTGATGCTGTTAGTTGATCATGGTGTAGTAAACTGGATAATTATGATGAGATTCAAAAAACGGGCTGGAGCAAGTACAAAATAATAACATTTACAGCTTGATGTTTGCTTTCTGAAGTTAGCAGCCTGTCTATATAAAATTCAGTTTTTTCCCTTTCCTGGAATTATCACTGTTATCTTCACATGGCAGGTCACGTCACCTCAAATCACTTACCTTATAATGGCTTTGACAGAAATCTGCTTTAACTCTTGTCGCTTCCACTATAAAGACATTAGACTTATCAGAAAAGAGGCGGATCACAATGTGCCTCACAGTGACCTTCAATGACTTGTGTCCTGAATAGTCCTTAGCGCTTCATAGATTGTAATAGATGCAGGACACGCCGCGATGGAGGCAACGTTTGAAAGATCACAGTACAATGAATCATGGAGCCATGGATGAAAGAGCTTGATCTACTGAGCAAGAGAAAAGTGGAAAGACTTAACTGTGGGTAAATGAATGAATGTCAATGTCAGACACTCGTTATTATATTTCAAGTGTTGCCACAGATTTTACCGATGTTATTACAATTTAGAGTTCTTACATTTAACTGAACATACGTTATGCTGTCACACTGTTTACATGACAGTAAAATGTGTGCGTATCAATATAGATCACATTTCTGACTCATAGTCCACGGCCAAATGCAAACAGTAGTCCTCAATGCACCTGTAGAACTGCTACACAAACACATAGTAAATCTGTCATTCAGGGGCAAGCATCTGATAGGGTTGGCAGACTATCTGTTTGTCTATAGCAATTGTTGGGACGTCTATATTTCAATGTTTGTGAAACTTGCATTGTTATAGGAGGAGTTAACACTGTCAAGGTCCAATTTGAATGACAAGAAAAATCGGATATTTGGGGAAAATTATCATTTGAAGTAGTAATATACAATCCTAAGTTTTTTGAGAGAAAGATCTTCAAAGGCAATACATTCTGGGATGTTGCAGATTTGCAACATTGCTTGGTAAACAGAGCTGACTCTGTAAAAAACCCAGAGGAGATATAATCTACTTATTGGCATGTACTGTATCTATATATATTAATATATCATTGTATGCAGTTTTGGTTTCAAATGATTGGTGATTGATGCCCAGAAAAAGTGTTTCGGTGAAACCAAGGAGACTGACATTGTGGAAGTGAGACAGCTGCGCCCCCTGGTGAGCAGCTGGAAAACTGTGTGTTGCTAAATTATGTCCAGAAGTGGTCCTTCTGAGTAAAAAAGACCCATAAATATGGATGTGGAGTAGTTGGGTAATAAGATATTAAGTTGCAGCAAAACGGCTGCCAGGAGAGGGTTAAAGGGGAAACAACTTTTTACGGTGATTTTTAAGCTATACGATTAGATTTGAATAAAAGAGCCTAATGTGTGCATAGCTAGTTCAAATTCTTAGAACTTTTTCCATGATGGAAAAAAATATTGTACTTTTTCCCTTTTGAGGCCCAATATCAGGTAGTTTTCTTAGACTAGTTCGTGTAGTGTTCGTAGTACTTTTGAAATGAAATAAACTGCACTACTCTGGGTAACTATTACAATTATGTTCAAAACTACAAACACTTTAAGTTATCCCAATTTTACCACTCCAATAAATAAATATATCCATGATGCATATATAATCTGTGTATGATGTATGTATGCGTTTGCATTTATTCTTCTGTTTGTATTCCACACATATCCTCAAACAGGACGAGCTTCCACGCATGCGCACTGCATCAAAACAAGGAAGTTCTCCAAACAAACAGCACTTGTGCTTCATCCTGTCAGTATTTCCACTGGATTTCACTCGTGGCGCCTTCTGTCCTGCCCTGAACGTCTGTACGGGTAAGATATGCACTTTACAACACAAATATAACCTCAGTATCTTTAACACGGCCATGTTTATTGACTAGCTAGCGTTAACTAAGTACTAAAGGCTAATACTCCTTGTGACAGCACCACGTGAACTGCTAATGCCATGTAGCAACACCCACGGTCACTGTAGCACCAAGCAGCTGAGGTAAGTTCACTGGAAATAACTGTCCACATCATGGATATATAATAAATACACATGCTAGTTTGACGGGATGGTGTTAAATCCATGGATCTATAATCATATCTTAACATAACCATATAATCCGCTATTCGCCTTATGTGTCTAACAACGCATAAGTATAAAAATCTAAAATTCAGTGTTGACTGTGTGCTAGTTATTACAATGTCATCACCCTCTTCTCAAAGTGGATCAACTTTAGTTTGCAGACACCAGTTTTCATTTTTGAATGTCTCTTTTTTTCTTTATTTATATTGTTATAAGATAATGGAGGGTGTTTTTATTACTGTTTGTTCGTCGTAAAACATTAGAAATTACATTATAACTCAATTCCATTAAATGTATTTCTCTATTGCCCTAAATTACAACAGCAGTTTCTCGGAGGACTTTACAAAGTTGTAGATTCCTCAACAACCAATCAGAGAATCAAACAGGTCGAACACAGGAAAAGCAATGATCACAAACATTTTCATTGTTTTCATCGTCATTGGTCGATGGAGAGCGGGATTATCAATGTTCATATATGTCGATAAATGTCCCGTATCATCACTGTCCATTGACCCACCTGGATCAACAATAAAATAAAATAAAATAAAACCTCCAATGTGGGCCACATTGGGAGAGGGTTCCGCTCCCACAGACAGACGGGCTGTAGATCCGGGACATAAGTTTATAGATAATATTTCCAAACAAAATAGTTTTAGAATTAGATTATTTATTTAAAAAAATATATATTATAAAACTATTTTTGTTTTTTGGTGTTGTAATTACTTCTCTGTTTTAGTCTTCAAATCACATCTCACAGCATATTTATTTGCTGGAGACTGTATATAAACTAAATTAATTATGGCAGTTATTTAAACCAGAGCACCCGGACAAAATCTCGGTGGACACCAGGAGAACATGTAAACTAATTTTGACTATTGCTAACATTGAAACAAGACACTAACTTGAGCAAATAAAGATACTAATTAATATGACATTAACAGGACAATTTTTGAAATATATTTCTTAACCATGTCAGAAGAACTTGATTTACAACTTTGTGGTCTGATGAAAAGTACTATTACTGTGCGTTAAAATGTAGAGGTCAAATTCAAATTTAGAGTTCATGGTGCCTGAAAACAAAAAGGTTCCTCTTCAGATGGGTGGAGAGATCCTTCCTCAAGGCTTGGGCATGTTGTTTGGATACCTCTGGACCCCTCCCATGGTAGATGTTCTGGGGCCAGGGGCAGACCCAGAACACGGTGGGGCTGTGTCTCTCAGCTGCTTTGGGAATGCCTTGGGATTTCCCGAAAAAAGAGCTCCTGGAAGTGTGTGTGGATAGGGAAGTCTAGGCGTCTCTGCCCCTGTGACCTGGCAACGGAAAAAGCAGAAGAAAATGGACAGATTTAGCATTCATAAATATATAATTTGTTATGCTTGTCAAAACCCTACTCGATAGCTCATTGCTTTTCTTTATTTTTAGTTTTTTCTCTCCGTGCCAATTTGCCTTGTCAAAATTCACGCAATAGAATCTCTAGGGCGCTGTCTCCTTGCTTCCACCTGGTATAAATGTCAGTATCTAGTAGTCAGGGGCCGTATTCCTAAAGATTCTTACTGCTAAAAGTTGCTCCTAGTGGCCAAATTCTAAGAATTTTCTTAGAATCTTGACCAACTCTTAGAATTTCCCCTAAAAGTGAGGAGTAGCTCCTAGTTAAGATAAAAGCTATTCCTAAAAAATCCTAGCTCTTAAGAGTGCTCTTAAGGGGAGATCCCTTAAGAGTTGAGAGGAGGACTTTTAGCGACTTAAAAGTTCCCTAAGAGCACAAAATGGTGGACGGTGGAGACAGGAGAAATATTCTATACACTGGATGACAGTGAATCAGTGAAACGCTACAGATTCAAGCAGGAATCATGTTTGTGGTATATTTAAAAGTCAATCATGTGACCAGCTTCTCATTGGCTGGTCAGCAATAACACCTCATCCATTTTACCTTTGTTACACAAAAGTAAGTAGAAATGGTAAAAGTTGAAAGAGAGGAAAAAGTGGTCCTAAATTGTCACACATTCAGTACGAATGAATGAATACTTTATTTTGAGCCATGGCAAACAAGAAAAAAAAGGACAAAACAAACAAAACAACAACAGAATAGAAGTACAAATATACAGTTTTGTTTTATTAACAACAATCCAGCTCAAAAAGGAGTGGGAGAGGATAAGACTTTTAAGCTCCCTTGTACTTGATTTGTACAGTGTATGTATAATATGTTTATATTAATATTGTTTCCTTAATTCCTTATAAGTCTATACCAGGGGTGCCCAAACCTTTTGCTTCCAAGGGCCAAAGTGAAAATTTGCCAGTCGGCCGCGGGCCAAATACACCGATATTACGCATGAAACGCAAATAAATGTAGATTTGATCAAGTTCAATTAAATGCATTAATTATTGTCTATAAGTGCAAATCAGAGCTGAATGAATGAAATCAACACAGTCTTAGTGAAGTGGAGACTCCAGGGAAATATGCAGGTTTGAGGAGACTACAGTACGGAAAGATTCCGGCCGGGTAATCAGGGTCCAGAGGAGGGACATTTTCTGTCATGGCTTATTTACAGCTTAAAATCATATAAAAAACCTCAAAAAGAGAACAGAAACATACATTTTCTATGTAAATAAACTGTTTTTTTAAATGCTACTTGTAAACAAATAATGTGCCTGCTAGTAAATGAAAGTAATAATTTATATTAAATAATATCATACTCCCAAATTAAATCTATTTTTAACCTGCTCATGTCAGTAAACTGTTTGTTGAAGACATTTTTCTAAACAGTTTTGCATTACTATAGAACAGTGATTTATAATGTATAGGTTTATTGTACTAGCAAATGACATTTACTTTACAAAAGTAAAGTCTATTTTCATATATTTATTTTGAACAAAAGTTTTTAACTACATTTGAATCATATTACTTTATCTTAGCTTTTATCAAAAAGGGGAGACATCACTGATCAATAGATCTGGTTTTAGCACACTTTTAAACAATACATTTTAACATTTAGTAATGAATTTGGGAACATAATTGCTAACTGCATTTTCTAAACATGATCAGGTTTTAACTCTGTTTTAACTTAATATTTTTAACATAGGGCAAGTATTCTCAATTAGTAGTGAACTGAATATTAAACTAACGAAATCAGACTAGTTAACCATGATATGTTCCTGGAGTTTTGTTTTGTTTTGCCTAAACACAGTACAACATTTATAAACAATCAAAACAAAGTAACTGTTAAAGAGTCCGTGTTTCCGCTCCTCCAAAGGGCTCTTGAACGCATCATAAAACTCTGCGTAAGTTCTGACATTCAATGATCGCGAGTGAGGACGGCGCTTACCGGCTTCTTTCATGGGGTTGTAGAAGAGTTTGTTTTGCACAGTATTTGTTGCTTCTACTTGCGTGGATCGTGCGCTGCGATCCCTGCTTGTCCTGCTTGAACTCACTCTGAAGTGTTTGTGTCCGTCTTTTTTAACACACCGGGTGGGTGCGGATTGCGCAGGTGAATAGTTCCACTCGCCATTTCCCTCCGGTGAGGAGGGGGAGTGGCAGTTCGCCAGCACAATCCTCTCAATTTGATAAAACATTAAATTGCTCAAAAAAATTTTAATAGTAGGCTGAAAAAAAGAACATAAAGGGGCCTTGCACCCAATTGTTTTGAAAGATGTGTTTGATTTTAAAAAACATTTTAGTACAAGTAGATGTGAACCATGAGTGAGGAGTGTATCTCGATACAACAGTAAAGTACTGGACAGTGTCCGTTCAGAGGGCGTCTGTGCGCCCGCGTGATCTCAGACATGTCACTGTTTGTTCAGCGAAGTTGAGGGACTCGGATAGAAACTTGTTTTACGGGCCAACTGAAATGGTCCGGCGGGCCAACTGTGGCCCGCGGGCCCCACTTTGGGCACTCCTGGTCTATACATATCACAGCCTTTACTAATCCTAACGTTATCATTATCATCATTTATCCATATAATATTTATAATAATAATTTTCTTTATCATGTATATTATATATAGAGTAATATTTAAATTATATGTATATATATATATATATATATATATATATATATATATATAAAATTATAAGTGCTCATGATATATACGTATTATGTGTGATAAATTGGTGCTGAGCAAGCTCTGATGATGGTGTATAAGTCTAACTTTACTATTCACAGTATTTATGTACCATTGATATATCTGACTTTATAGCTTTTGGTTATTATTTACAATAACACAGTGTTCCTAAGATTAGATTGCATGATTGAGTTTGTCCATTTTAGGGCCCTTATTTTGCCTATTATCATCAAAAATATGTTTGTTCTAACTTTTAGGATCAACCAATCACAGCGTCTGAAATGATGACTCATACCTAGCAACGGGGTCGGCCACGCCTCCTCACTAAGATAAAAGTTGTTGTCAATTCCTTGCTCAGAGTTCTCTAAGAGTGTTCTGGAATAACTTTTAAGCTAAGACTCCTAGCTAGGAGTTTTTAGGTTAAGATAAGAGCTCTCTGAGAGGACTCTCAGAATCTTTAGGAATACGGCCCCAGGTTTCCATGTGTCGGTCTGGAACAGCTTTTGATTAACCGCCGACTCACATCCTTTTTAAATACACAACGTTTGTGAGACCGAGTACTGCATCATTATAATTCACTCACACATGTGGACAAACAGACTTGACAAGTTCGTGTGTGAAATCGACTAAAATAATGGGTTATGGGTCCAACTGTTTGTTCTCCAGCTTCATCCAAACAAAATACTTTACTTTTCAAACACATATTATAGGGATTTGATGCTGTATTGAGAAAATTCACTGATATTGTTAAGCATTGGGAAACATAGTGGAGGGAAATAAACATCCATATTTGACCAATTTAGTTTACATTGGTTTTATTAATGCAGAATTTCTACCTGCATGATGATCAATGAAAATAGTAGGAAGTAAGTAATATTTATTTATTTAGCGCTCTCACAGACCAGAGTTACAAAGGGCTTTACAATTGTTGTGGGCATTTGTGCTCTCACTCCACACAGACCTAGGCCAGGCACGGCGAGTTTATGTAAAGAGTAAAGATAACATTCCTCAGCTAAACAGAACTGTTTTTAACCCGTTCCCTAACCCTAACCCATTTTCTCTAAGATATTTTGATGCACAAAAATGTTTCTCTCCCCTTGTCTGTTTTTATAAACTGTTTGACATTACGGCTTTTTAGGTTCTTCTAATAAGAAAAAAGCTAGTACTGCTTAAATACCTGACATGTTTTGGCGGTACACTTTGCCGAAACATGTCAGGTATTTAAGCAGTACTAGCTTTTTTTGCTTTAATTGTCTTATTAGAAGAACCTAAAAAGCCGTAAACATAAGAAGACAGAATGAATTTTCCACATTTGTTTGACATTGACTTAGATGTGGAGGTAATATGGAAATCAGCCAATTATATTATTGGATATAATGGCATTTTCTCACAGATAAATAGCATTAAGCAGCTCGGAGCAGTGCGGCTGTTTGGATAAAAACACACAATGCAGAGTCTAGAGCGGCGCGAGGCGAGAGTGTGTTTAAATCATATTCTGCTCAGCTCTGAGTTGTTTCATCAAAGTTCAAAGGTCAAAGTTATCTTTATTGTCAGCAAAGAGTGTTTGAGCCTGTGTTGTGTGCATGTGTGTGTGTGTGTGTTGTTATGGGTTTTTTGTGTGTCTATGACCCCTATCTTAGGTTATTAGGTTATACTGTATACTGCACATTATCATAATTGCACGGTGTATTTTGATTGTTTGTATTGTATTCTGTGTATTATTGTGTTGAATTGGTGAGAGGGGTTTGGGAAAACACAAGCATCTGTTTCATCCAACCCTTTTTCATCGGTGCGTAGATATGGAAAATTGTGTTCAGTGTTCTCAAATAAAATCAAAACAACTAATAGTAGGCTAAACTCTATTCAAAATTTGACTTAAAAACACATTGAAACATCTATTTTAGGCAGTACAGTTTCTTCTTTACATTGTTGACCTGGTTTTGATCTCATCGTTTGGTATTTTGAATCTGTTCTCGTATTCTGTGTTGTTTCGGAATAAATCTTTTCCTTTTCTTTTGCAGTACTCTCCAGTCTCGGTGTTTAAACTTGGATCCTTTGTGTCTGCAGAGCCCCGTGTAAGCCGACGTGACAGCTGCCTGCGAAAAACCGGCTCCAGTCTGAGAGCAAAAGTCACCGAGCGAAAGTAAACAGACCCTCAACACACTCCCCGAGCTGCCCCAGACATGACAGCAGGGGGAGCCACTGGGTTATGCTGAAGTCGTGGGTATGCAAAACTATTAGAGCCAGACTGCTGTGTTTTTGTTGCAGATGAGGCGTTTTAAAAGGCAGATCAACTTGTTTTTGTTTTTTGTCTGAGCTGAGTAACTTTGGATTCTTTCCCAAGCCACACTAACAATATCATAATATAATGTTTTCAAATACATTTTAAAAGAAACAAATCTTTAACAAATATCTTTCTTTCTTATTTATTGATTTTGAAAAGTAAATTGGGAAAACGCTCCTGTGAGCCTCATGTGCAGTGCTTCAAACATCTCTGCCTTTAAAACCTTTTAAAAGCTCCAACTTCCAACAATGGCAGCAATAAATCTAATATAACCCACTGCACAAGCATGAGTATGTGTTTGTAGGTTAATATATATGTAAGATATCACCTACTTTGCTCAAGCAAAACAGATTTGTTTGGCCTTTAAATGTCAGTGCGTCATTGTGAATATTTGAGGAGTAACATTCATATCTAATTGGAGACGTGTATCTGCCTCCTGCAACTCTAAGCCTGTGTAGAGAAATTATAATACGAAGAGACAAGGTCTGGTTCAGAATATTAAAATATGCAAATTGGAAACAATATTAATTCAGAGCCTGGAGTCAGGTCATCATCGATCTATAACGCCTCATTATCTCTGATCTGCGTTTCTGGAAAGTGCTGAATGCTCCACAATGTCTCAATAATCCATAAATATCAAACAAACATTTTGTATAAATTATAACTTTAAATCTGTCTTTTCTGTTGCAGAGTGGGCGATGTTAAAGGCCTCTCGAAGCACCATGCTTTCCGCTGGAGCCTCCAACAACAAAGTCAAGTACTCGCGGCTGGCAGCGGATGAGGATGGTTACATAGACTTACAGGTACCAGGCATTATTGTTTACAAGATAAATCATCACAAAACAGTACGTCATTCTTTTTTTCTACAATTCTATATCAGTTAGAGCCCAGGTGCCATTACAACTCTGTGGGAAAGAAGCAAACTTAGTATGCTTCTTCTAGTATGAGTATAGATATTAAATGAGTCTTAAAATCACATCTCACAGCACATGCGTGTGGTGGAGACTGTAAATAAACTTAGTTGTGATGGTTCTGTGATGAGTTGGGGCGGGTGCTATGTGAATTGGGTGGCAGTTCTGTTTGGATGAAGATGGATAGTTGTGATCAATGATTACAGAAGCAGCTTTGATATTGGCTTTACTCTTACTATTTCACCCTCACAAGTCGTTCTTTATTCTTCTTTTGTGTTTGTTGTCTTCTTCCGTTAATCAATGCCATTTGCCAGTCTGTTAAGGCAAGGACCAATTTTGTTTTGTATGTATTACTAATTTGAGCAAAGATACTTAAGATACTAAGTAAATGTACATAAACTTACAGGTACCACACACTATTGCGTTCATTTACTAGAATTCTATTTCAGGTGGAGGGCAGTCAATACAACTCTAAGGGGAATAAGCACATTTCGAAAGAAGAATACATTTATAAAAGTTTTCCGATAATTTAAATGTTCATTGACAAACCTGTCTTATTAGTCTTAAGTCTGAATGTCCGACATCGCAGCTCCGCTCTGTTTCCACTCTGAATCGAAGTCCGCCTCGTGAAAACACATCTTTCTTCTTTAGTGTCTGAACTACTTTGGCTCGTTCAGTCTTCCGCTCGCTCTGCAGCTGCTAATAAGCCGCTGCTCATAATGTCTCCCACAAATGATTAGAGGGAAATCCCACAATTAATTAGTTATCTGCGCGCCAACCCCAAGTGGGGGAAGCGTACACAGCTGCTCACTCCCCTCAGTGTTTGCTGTGCATTTGTTGATAATCTCAGCCGAATGCGCCGCCGTAGCCATGAACAAACAAGTGGTGTGTTTCTTAGAGTATACAAATTGATAGGCTTAATTTAGTTTTCATTGTTCACAGATGTGGCGGATGCTTCGCTGCCAATTTTACACTTTATTAATGCCAGAGCGCCCTGTGTTTAGTTTACCAGCTCTGCGTTGGCGTCGGGAGCAGCTTTCTCGGATGAAAGTAAATTAGTCCAAACATATTCCGCGGGCAATTTTAGCTTATAAAATGAATGTAAATGTTCAATTGCATTGCACTCAATCACAACAGTAGTCGTCTAGGAGGACTTTTAGATGGTTGTCCATCGGCCTACAACAGAGAATCAAACAGTTCGTACACAGGAAATGAAATAACAACAAACATATTGGAACCATCGGTCCACAGGGAGCGGGACGACCACTGTCCAGAAATGTAAATAAGTCTCCATAAATGTCCCGGATCATCACGGTCTTCCTACTGCATCAGAAGAAACGACTCAAAAAAACATATAATGGGAAAAAAGAGAGAAACCTCGGGGGGTCCACATTGAGAGAGATCCGCTCCCATGGACAGACCGGCTGTAGATCTAGGACTGGGGCGGTTGGATCTGGGGACTAAAACTGACTTGTAAAAGTAACATATTAAACCTATCATGTCACAAAACGCTGTCTTCATCTTTTTGGAACACCTTGTTATCTTTTGCATCCTTACATACTCACATGCATGTGAAAACATTGTTAAAACCAAATTGTTTTGCTCAATGGTTTTTTGTTGTTGAGTCGTTGCCTGCAGATGCAGGAGGACAGTGATGATCCGGAACATGTATCAACATTTATGGACAGTGGTCATCCCGCTACCTATGGACCAATGGCTCATATGTTTGTTATTATCATATTTTCGGTGTTAAAACTTTTTGATTCTCTGATCTGTCAAAGTCCTTCGAGAAAACTGCTGTTGTGATTTAGGGCTGTGCAAAAAAGACATTGAATTGAAATGTGTCAAGAGAGAGAAAGTTGTATTACATAGCTAATGCTTTGGTCTGTGTTTCAAATGACATAACATGATGGATTGAGAATGGATCAGAGTAATGAAATGCCTCCATCTGGTGGTAGAAGTGGGACATTACATTGTGCCATGCAGGTTTTTCCCCAATTATTTTCTCGCAAAGTGACACACCGGAGAAGAGGAGGGGCTTAGTACATCTATAAAGATGTACTAAAATTAAGTCAGACTCATTTGTTTGAGCATAAGGATACAGGGTATGCTTACATTGAGCACGTAGATATAGAATGCCCATACCCCGTTTATGGTGGTAGGATGTGTGTGTGTATGTGTACTTACTTACAAGCATGTTAAAGAAGAGATATTTTGAAAATCTGTGCTATTATCACACATTTCTGGCAAAAAAATTTAATATCCTACTCCACCCCTTTCTGTCCAAGAGCTCCTGTAAAAGTCCTGTAATAGTGTTATGTCATTGTACCACTTATGAGCATCAAAACCACACCTCCCTCTGGTGTTAGCTAAGGGATAGGACACGCTGATAGCATTGTCTACCCTTCATTCCTGTTTCACCATCATTTTTCTACTTATTATTTTGCAATTAATACACAAAAATTAGATAGTGAAATGTTTAATGCAGAAAATAATGCTTGAAATTTCTCATCTAGCCGTTATCTTTTTGTTTTGTTTCCCAGTTCAAGCGCAGCCCGCCCAAAGTCCCTTACAAGGCGATCGCTCTGGCTCTGTTCCTCTTCCTGATTGGCTCGCTGCTGATCACCTTCGGGGCTCTTCTGCTTTCCGGAACCATAGAAGTGGAGGTGAGGCCGCTACTACACACAACTTCCACCACTATTTCAACAATTACCACATCCAAAAGTGCAGTTTACGAAGTTACATAATACAACAGTCACTTTCTGTGTAATCGGCTGTCTCCAGAGCAGCAGGGGGTGTAGCGGCTTTGGCTTGTTGCTTCACAATTTTCCTCCTAAAATCCATCGGCGACAAACAGCTTGTGCCTCCTGCGAGTTCAGTCTTTAATCCTTCTTCTGAAGATGATTTTGTGTTTACATTGTCGAGGTGGAGACAAGAAAAGCTGCATTCAAAGAGTTTTCTTGTTGGATGACTAATGAGGATGTCTATTATTTAGTGTTTACAAGGAGGAGAGACAACAACAATAGAAAAAACTATGATTTGAGATCCACTCTTTTAAAGCTGGGAACCTAACTTTTGAAACACTGTAAAATGGAACAAAGTAAAGGGACCGCTGCAACTCGATTACTGACTAGAACCAGGAAGTATAATCACATTAGTCCAGTTCTCTGATCTCTGCACTGGCTTCCTGTGGCTCAGAGAATGGACTGAAACGGCTCTGCTTGTCTTTCCATGGCCTCGCACCAAAGTACATCCGTGTTTGTGTCATATGAACCAACTCGGACTCTGAGAAGCCCAGGGACTGGCCTCCTGCTGGTGCTCAGAGTTAGGACTAAACATGGATGGAGGCAGCGTTTCAGATTTATACTACAAGAATTTGAACAGTCTTCCTGAAAATGTGAGACAGGTTGCGACTCTGACAATGTTATAATCCTATTTATTTTTAGCTGTGTATTTACAAATACATTTGCCTTGCCTCGTAAGAAAATCTAATCAATTGAACTAGTTCCTCGCTCTCAAAACGGTTTGCTTCTAGAACTAGTTTATTTATTTTTCAGATCTCACCAACACATCAAATAGTGACCCACAGGGCTCTCTCTTAAACATTTTACTTTTACAAGACGGAGTAGAAGCACCCCAGCTTGAAGTGTATTCAAAGTGAGCGTTAAACCTTTTCCCCTACTAGTGACTAACATAATTCTTATTTGCTTGTTACATCACTCACTGCTAATTATACCTTTTGGGAACATGTCGGGCCATGTCATTTCTTGAGAACGTCGCCAATAACCGACTCTACATCAAGTTTTTTTTTTTTGGCAGCTTTTACTCCACTCTTTTCATCAAGTCTTGTCACAAACCTCCCTGAGTCTCTCCCCTATAGTGCTCCGGCAGTAATTAGCATTCGACGCTCCGTCCAAATAGCCCTAATTTAGCCGTTGCCTTGACATTTCCTCGCTATTCCACTGCCATTGCGCCTCCGCCCTCCCTAACCCTAATGGGAGCGCATTGTTGCTGCTAACGACATGGATATATATATATTTTTGTCCCAGTCGCGCGTCGTGTCTCCCGCTGGGTTTTTCTTCTTCCAAAACGTATAAGACCCCCAGAGCTAGCATAAGTCAGATTAATAACGCGCTCCAAGATGTTTATAGGGAATGCTCGGCGTCTATATTTACCGTAATGTGGCTTGGAAATACATACAGCCCAATTAGCCCGCGCAACGCCAGGATTTGACAAGAAGGTAACACCGCAGGGAACTGGCTCTGGCTTGTGTGGGAGGAGGCCTGTCTTCATGTCTAAATTGGAATGAAGTTATAGAGCTGAGAATAAGCATTAAAAAGGGGAAATATCGGGTGAGATTTGAACCGTGCCATGCCATTTTTCCCGCCAAGATTGCACTTATATTTGTGGTTGCTACTTTCTTCTACGTTCTTAACTCACTGACTAACTTCAAACGTGAATATATATATGTACTTGTAGCGTTTGAATACATTTTCCGGCGCCTCGCTTCTGTCATCACTGCGTGTGGAGTGAGTGGACACATATCTCTACTCTCAATTCTTAGAAAGCGCTTTGGGTGACTGGGTCTGCGAAATACGCTATATTAATAAAGATGACTTACTTATTTATTTATCTTTTTTGTTTTATGAAAAATCCATGCTGTTTGTCCCGACAGAAAGAGTCTTGTAAAAGTAACATTTTGGGGACAAATCAGACCACAACAGGCTGTCTTCTTTATCTTTTGCATCGCCCTGTGAGTCACTTTTTTGACTTTTCAAGCTTAAAGGTGATAGAGGTTGAGTGAGGGCGTTCCTGTTTTTGCCATCTGAAAGCAAATGATCTAAAAATGGGGCCGAGGCCTACGCACACATGTATGACTGTGAGCGAGGGACAATTCCGATAAGTTACATTTATTTGTGATTTGAAAGTTAGGCGCCCCAGCTTTATGAAATGCTAACCTAGCTTTTTCAACCTTACTCACTTACCCACTAAAAGTTTTACTTGGATTTCTGCGTATTTGAGTATTTGTAATCTCCCCTTTTAACTCATTGACTGCCATTGACGCACGATGCACTTTTTGTGCCTCTTTTTTCTCAGCTTGTTGGTGATTTCAGTAAAACTTCGCTCTACTCGACTTGGGATTACAGGGGAACAAAACAAGCTAGAAACAAACAAACATACTTTTTGCTGATGAAAGTAGACAGTCCAGTCTTTCAGAATCTGGTTTCAGATTTCAGATAGTCATGGTACACAATATTCTGTGGGTCTTGGAAAATCAGTAAAAAACCATCAGAAACGGCTGGCAATATGAGAATACCTGTTCTGAAATAGGCTGGCAGGCAATGAGTTAAGAGGCCATTTCTCCAGAGAAACAATTTAAATAATATAATTCCATTGATACATATGAACCCAACTATTGACATCATGGGCATTTACAACAATTCACTCATGATATTAATGATAAGGCTGGGGTACCTGACTTTCAAACTAAAACTAAACAATGTAATAAAATCCATCACAAGTTTTCCCATGAACATATTTGGCCTCTTTGACCTGAGTTTTCAGACAGAAATGTGAACCAAGTCAACCAATCAGCTCTCAGCCCAAAGCATCAAATAGTGGCTCACAGGGCTCAAATATCATGAAGACAGAATGTATATGGTCTGTTTTGTTCACATTTTACTAATCCAAACCCTAACAACCCACATGTGTTATTCATCCAACAACCCCAGCTTTAAACACAAATTGATGTACATTTAAATTCATTATTAACGCATGAATTCATATATTCTGATTTTTCTTTTTGACAAATTGACAAAGGCAAGATAAAAAAAATAGCTCATGGTTTGTGAATCTGGTGTGAGAGTGAATGGAAGGCGGCTGGGGCTTTAATATTAATAATTGAAACGATTCATAAACATTTTCCCATATTTAAACATAAAAGGTCGAAGGGTTTGTGAAGAATGGAGTTGTCCTTGTAGTGTGTGTAAATGTCCACTAGATGTCACCTTCGCTCCTCCATCTTCCTCTTCTTTGTATTGACCACAGTCTGCATTTGGCTTGTGATAAACTAGTAATTTCTCTGTCAAAATGAAAAATGGTTTTAATCAGAAAATGATAGCTATGTTTAATTCATACTTACAAGGTAGATAAGCGATGGTTTTTATAGAGCTGTCATTACATAACAACATGTACTGTATGTGTAGTTATTTAATTCATTTCACATGTGTGTTGAGGGGTATTTCGTGTGTGCGTGGTTAAAGCAGGTCTCACTAATGATGTCAAACAGAGCCACCGTGTGGATAATGTGAAAAGTGCATGTTCAGTGAGAGATGGTGGCAGTCTTAGGAGAAAGCAGATTATTAAGTGCCATTGACGTATTTCTCTGAGACCCTCTTTTCCACTGGGGATTACAGGACAACAAAAATAGCTAGAAACAAACTGATTTTTGCTGTTGAAAGTAGACAATCCAATCATTCAGAATCTGGTTTCATATTTTACATAGTCCTAGGAAATAATATTCTGTGGGTCTTGAGAATCAGCGAAATCATCAAAAACGGCTGGCAGTCAATGAGTTAAGTTTAGGGCAATGTTTTTAGGGGAAATGAAATGTTTAAGAGCTGTTAAAATTGTTTACTTTATCACACAGCCACTCAAAGATGCTTGTAGAGAAATCACCATCATGGTTGAGTGTCTCGTCTGCCTGCATTCAATTGGCCATAACTTTGACGGTTCCCATTTTAGTGTCGCAGATATGATCGTTCTGTTATTGATGATTATAGACTAGAACAAGACTAAACAAGTAGTATTGCAGTAATTATGAAGAATAAGCTATAACTCTGTATTACCGGTTCACATGGCTCATATGTACTCTGAGGAGCACAAGGACTGGCTCCTACTTTTGCTTGGAGTCAGGACTAAACATGAGAAGGCAGCATTGCAGATACAGTGCCTTGCGAAAGTATTCGCCCCCTTGAACCTTTCAACATTTCAGGCTTCAAACAAAGATATAAAAATTAAATTTTTTGTCAAGAATCAACAAGTGGGACACAATCGTGAAGTGGAACGAAATTTATTGGATAATTTAAACTTTTTTAACAAATAAAAAACTGAAAAGTGGGGCATGCAATATTATTCGGCCCCCTTGCGCTTATACTTTTGTAGTGCCACCTTCTGCTGCAATTACAGCTGCAAGTCGCTTGGGGTATGTCTCTATCAGTTTTGCACATCGAGAGACTGGAATTCTTGTCCATTCTTCCTTGCAAAACAGCTCGAGCTCTGTGAGGTTGGATGGAGAGCGTTTGTGAACAGCAATCTTCAGCTCTTTCCACAGATTCTCGATTGGATTCAGGTCTGGACTTTGATTTGGCCATTCTAACACCTGGATACGTCTATTTGTGAACCATTCCATTGTAGATTTGGCTTTATGTTTTGGATCATTGTCCTGTTGGAAGATAAATCTCCGTCCCAGTCTCAGGTCTTTTGCAGACTCCAACAGGTTTTCTTCCAGAATGGTCCTGTATTTGGCTCCATCCATCTTCCCATCAATTTTATTCATCTTCCCTGTCCCTGCTGAAGAAAAGCAGGCCCAAACCATGATGCTGCCACCACCATGTTTGACAGTGGGGATGGTGTGTTCAGGGTGATGAGCTGTGTTGCTTTTACG